CCTCCCCTCCCCCCGCCCCCCGTTCGGCCGCATCTTGATCCTCCACCCACCCACCCACCCACCCCCAGGAGGGGCCTTCGGAGGGTGGGTGGGGAAATGTGGCGAGCTAAACCCTCTTGCCCCGAGTGCCGTACACCCGGGGTGGAGGGGAGGGAGAGGGAGACTGTTCCTTCAGGAGATGGGCCGTGTAATGTGCTACGGCGCGCAGTGGCCTTGTGGTTCAAATTGCCCCCACCTCACCCCCGGGGGGGTGTAACACCAGGTTGAAGGTGCTGATCACTGGACGGAGAGTCACCCGTACACACACAACAGGGTGTAGTGGTATGTGACCCCCGGCACTGTGCCTGACGTTGCTCCCCATCAGGGAAAGAAGTACCTACCTACTTACATACGTATATACATACACATGTAGGGAAGTGCGCGTCCAGTTACTGGCCGCTGGGGAAGCGTGTGTGTGGGGGGGGGTTGGATTGAATATTTGAAGGGGCAAAGGGTGTTCCAATATTGTCATAGGGTCTAGTTTACGTAGCAGTGCGGAGCTGTGATAGACTACCCTCCCTGGATGAGACGCAGGAAAATAACATTTCTCGTTCAAGATTTTCAGCTGTGGCCCCTGCAGCCCTCACGAAAGGGGATTGATCGGATCGATTGTGCAATGCCGCTCCCGCGTTTTAGCTTTTGAGCACAGGTAGCTTTTAAACAGGTTCGTCGGCTTCGTGGTAATCGCTAGCTAGCACTGATAACACCTAATAGAACTCTCGAGCCCTGCCCTCATAGCTCCATTGCTGTGACGTCTTTCAGGGCTCTTGACGATGCCGAACGTGACCGGTTGACCGTTATATGGCCGGTAGTAAGAACTATCCATGGGAACAGGTTGGAAATGCATATGCCAGGACTGCACAAGCACACATGCTCAATTGATTAAAAGACAGAAATGGCAATGGTGCGCGTTGTGCCGAACAAAGGTGGCAGCCAGGCGGACGACATTCCCAGCACTAGCGGAAGGGAATACTTGGCGTACTTTGTCCATCGGCTATTAGAATTTCGGAAACCTGAGCTCGAGAGCTTGGCACAGACGGTCGGCTGTAAGGCCGAGGAGATTCGATGGAGGGCGCCGGCGGGCGATGTGGAGCACTCTCCGTTTTGGTATCTCACGTTGCCTTCGGAGGACGCAGCGTTACAAATAAGTAAACGGATGATTTTGACCAAGGTACGCCAAGGTGGCGAAGCGGGGCTAAGTCTTCCATTACCTGACAGCGCAAAGGCCCTAACGGTTTGGCATGGCCACCCGCGAACCCGAACCCGAACCCGAATTGCGTGGGGCACAAGAACACCGCTGCTGCTATACACCACTGTGAACATCATCAGGGTGTGTTTGTGTATGTGTGCGTGTCCCAAGGTTCGCGGCTATGGAGGGAGTTTGAGAGCCAGAGAGCGACTCTCCCGCTACGGGGGTTTGGGGAAACTGAGATTCAAAGCTTCACCTGAAAGAGGATTAGTGTTAACAATGGTGGGGCATTGGCGGGAAATGATGTAAGCGACCGGGATAGTCTTACTGTGACCAACCTTCCTTTCTCCCCGCCATGTACTGCCACATTGGCCGGCCGCCGGGGACCTGTGTTCGAGGTCGGGCTCGAACTGGGGTTGCTCATGTTGTTTCCTGCATACCTCCATTTGTCAATTCCTCTGATTTGACAACTCGGCTTTACGGGGCCGCCACCACCCCTTGCTTTTTTCATGTAATCCTTTTCTTCCCCTCTTCCCCCTTCCACCCACACCCTTTCATATACCAGATGCTCGTGGAGGTGTGGGGCGAGGGGGAGGACTGGGCGGACCTCACGGCAGCCATCCAGGCGTGCCCTCAGGAAGTCAAGGTCAGGGGGGTGGGGAATTATTTGTTGTCGTACGTTGCCGTAGTCGTACACAAGCAAGTTTAAATGCTTTTTACGTTTTATCATTATGAATCTATGTAAGTATGTCTGTCCCACCGCTGTCAGTCGCTTTCTGACCTTCCTCACCTCCCCCCTCCTCGTCTTCGCGACCACCAAGAGGCGCACAGGCTTTCCAGCTCCGTAATGGACCCCCTGACTAACCGCATGCACTCCCAACTGCCAACGCCTAACTGCCAACGCCTAACTGCCAACGCCTAACTGCCAACGCCTAACTGCCAACCAAATTACTGTGCAGGCCCCCTGGCTAGGACCCGAGCTCACGTTCCGGGTTGTGGTTGAGTCGTTTGGAAGTTCGTTGCCAATGGACGAGCAGCTCGAGCTGATCAAGCGGTTGGAGTTCATCCCCTTCAAGGTGTGTCTGTATGTATGTGTTTCTGTACACGTGTGGGGGTTTAATGATACAGTTGCGTTGATGCACCGCGTCTGGCCGGATGGGAGAGTGTGTGTGGGGTGGGTGGGGGGAAGAAAAGACGGTTAGGTACCGAACCAGACCAGACCGAACGTGGTGGCGCTCCAGGGGGACTGAGACCACATCACATCAGGTGTACGGACCCTCGAGCCCTCGTTGGGGACCTCCGAACCTCCGTGTCATGTTGGGAACGGAAAACACACTTCGAGACGGGGGGGCGCGTGCGGGGCACTCCACGTGCGCCCGCACACAAACGCTGTTGAACCCCCCCTGGCCCCCGGCCCCTCTCCCCCCCCTCTCTCTCTTGTGTGTGTTTTGGCCACACGCCTCCCCACACACACCTCGTCGACCCCCACCTTCAACCCCTGACCCATCCCCAACCGCCCACGTGTGCTGCCTCGTTTCCGTACTCTGAAAAACCCGCGTGTGCGCGTACATGCGTTCGGATGCTTTCGTGGACACCTGTACGAACCTGTACGTGATGATCAGGGCGCCGTACGTCTCAGAGATCCCCAGGCACGGTGGGCCCCTCTGCGGCGGCGAATGAACGGGGAGGGGGCGCGGGGTTCCCTCGGTGGGGTGGTGGTGATGGTGGTGGGGGGATAAGGGGGCCGTAGGTTGGGGTGGTGGTGGGGGGATAAGGGGGCCGTAGGTTGGGGTGGTCGGTACATGAAAATGGGGCCGGGACGCAGGGGACGAGCGCCGGGCAGTACACCCCTTCCCCCCAAAGCTTCCTCGGGGGCTCCACCACCACCGCACATACACATACACATACACATACACATACACATACACATACACATACACATATCACCGAAATCGTGACCCCACACCGAAATGGTCCTCCTCGGAACCCTAAGAACCTAGATCCCCCCGGCCTCACCCCCCGGCCTCACCCCCCGGCCTCTCTCATGACATCGCCCACATCCCGTAATCACTCCCCACACACACGCCGCCGCCGCTGCCGCCTACACCTCACGCACTCGTGTCCCCTCACAGTCACTGCGGACCCCCCCTTGTGAACCCCTGCATTGCCCAGCTCCCCCCACCCACCCACCCGTCCCCTTGCCTCCTCCACTCTGCCACTCCCCCCCCCAGGTTCGGTTCGTACTGCTCCGCTGCGACTGCGGGGACCATGGCTCCCTCATTGATGAGACGGTGGGTGGCAGGCAACGGTACCGGGCGGTTGGCAGTTAGATGGCGGTTAACCGGCAGCGTGCGGTGGTTGCGTCAGTCTCCCCGACAGTCCCCCTCCGCTTTCCCCAGACGCACTCCCGCCCCACTGGAGGTGTCTGCAGCTGAGCACCAACACAATGACCCCCGGGGCTCCACCCCCAAAAGCTACTGCTACTGCTACTGCTACACCCTGCCAGGTAGCATCTCCCAAAACCTGCTACTGCCGCTGCTGACCGGGCTGCCCCTCCCCCTTTCCGGCCGATTACATACGTTTACATACATACATACATATATACATACATACATACAAACGCACACGCAGGTCCCCGCCCGGCTTTACTTTGGCCGGCTAGTGGGCTCCTCCGACCGGGGGGTCATTGACACGTACAGTCTGCGGCGGCGGCGGTACCTGGGGCCCACCTCCATGGACACCGAGATGGCGCTGGTGATGTGCAACCAGGGCGGGGTGGGTGCGGGGGAGGGGGAGGGGGGGAAGGGGGGTTGGTTGGGAGGGGGGGAGGGGGAGGGAGGGGGGTTGGGAGGGTGTTTTGGTGCTTTGGGGTGACCTGGGTGGGGTGATGGGCCCCTTTCATAGTTTGTCTTGTGAGATTAACCGGCGATTATGTCGTACATGTGTGTAACAGTGTATGTATGTACGTATGTATGTATGTATGTATGTATATGCTGTCACTCTGTTTTTATGTCTGTTGCGGTAGGTACGGCGGGGTAGTCTGGTTCTGGATCCGTACGCCGGTACTGGATCTATTCTCGTGGCGGCCGCACACTTCGGAGCCAAGGTGGGGCTTACCGCGGGGGGAAGGAGGTGCTTACCATGTGTGTGTGTTTCTATGCCTGTGTCCGTATGTCGGAATGAGCGCGTCTGTGTTTCGGTAATAAAGCACTGCAGCTGCTACTGCCAGTACTGCCGCCACTGCTGTCGTCACTGCTGCTACTACTGTTGTTGTTGTTGTTGTTGTTTGGGTTTCATCGTTGCGGCCTCCACCGCCCGAATCCCCCTAATCCCCGTAATCCCCCTAACACCCTAACACCTGGTTCGTCTGCTCTGCACTCTCGCCGGGCAGGCGACTCGCAACCCGCACAACCCCCGCAATGCCCAGCAGCAGCAGCTGCAGCAGCAGTAGCAGGGAAATCGTGCCCGCTCCATTTCGATATGTCGCCGTGCTGCCGTACACTCTTGTTGTCGTACTGTCCATTTCAGGTCATGGGTGCCGACATTGACATCAAGGTTCTCCGGGAGGGCAAGGTAGGTGAGACATACAGACATACACACACACGCATGCGACCGGAGAGTACGACATACCCTTAATAACCGCAACCACGATTACCAGCTGCTCTCTCCGAGCTCCCTGCCAATGGACACGTACACAAATACACACATACACACATACACACACATAAACGGGCGCGTGCTCCTTCTTTCCGGGCAAGTTGAGTTGAGACAGCCATCCGCGTCTGAAACCAAACACACGCAGGGCGCCTCGTTTCCGCACGGCCCCCACTCCCCTACCAAACTCATGCAATGCCCCACTTCCGTACACGCCGTACACGTGCCGTACATTTCCCCACCAGGTTGGCAAGGGTGGCGAGCGACTAACAATTCACTCCAACTTCCAGCAGTACGGCCTTCGGGGGCCCCTGGACCTCGTACGGCTAGATACCCACCGCCACCCCATAAGGCCCGACCTAGCCGAGGTACGCCTGCATGCTGGTCGCCGTACGACATTGTACGGCACCGAAGCACACAACCTATGGTTCCTACTTGCGCATCTCAAGCCCCACCCTAGCAGCGAGTCCATTCCTGTCAGGAACACCCCGCCGTCACCGGCCCAGGATGTACGGCACCATGAAACTATTCAGCTTGTGTTGTCGTCAACTAGCAGTGCTAGTACGGTAGGGTGCTGTATGATACTGGCCCCCGCCGTACACGCGGCTTCGGGCTGCAATTCTAGCAATCAGCAAGGCCCCGCTGGCATACCCACGTACATACATACACACACACACCCCTAACCCGCCCCCTTTCCCCGGAATCCGGTTGCCAGCCCTCCTCTCCGTGCACTTCC